CTTCCTCAGTAATATGTCCATAGATTTATAAATTGCTTTTGGCTTTCCAGAATTCATCCTCCAGGTTAATTTAAAGGAAGCTTTAAATGCCTCCCCTTCCTCTGCCCCCAGAACTGCAGTTTAAATGTTTCTAATACAATAATTTGGCTGCATCAAGAGGCTACATTTCTTATTCTTATATTTGCTATAATTATATTTCATAAGATGCTTTTGGATTTTTTTCATTATAACATCAGAGCTTCTTTACCCTTTATATATTTAAAAATGTAAATACCAATCTTGAAGTTTTTTAATAATTGAATTTTTACAAATCTTGGGAGTAAAGATAATTAAGGTTTTGAGTATCTTAGTAAAATTAGCTGTTTTGTTTCACTTACATAAATCAAATTGAAATTATATATGGTTCTCTCTCTTTTTTTAATTATATATGGTTCTTGTGTGTTGGTTCATTCCTGGCCAAATTGTTTGTGTCATCCACAAACAAAATAATTACTACTTTAGTCACAAGTAGGGTGTGTTCTCATTTGAGAAATCGGGAATTGTCAGTTAGTACTTCACATTGATAGTAAAGACCTGCTTTTGTTTTCTGACCCAATACTTTAATGTTTGCATACTTTTTACTATTTTCAATAGGAATAGTTTCAATAAAATGTTAATATCAGCTGACATCATATAAACTATATATGAAAGCAATTATACCCTTTGCAAAGTCTTTTTCTTAACATGCTATGAGTAGAAAAAAATACCCAGTAATAATTATTTTCGTTTGACTATCAGTAAAGAAAAGGTATTTAAGAGAAAATGTTTCAGAGTCACATGCTAAAGTATTAAAGAGGGATATGAATATACCCTTCCTTTAGAATATACATAAATATATATATTTGGCTTGAAACTTAACAAGCCAAAATTAAATGAACAGTATTAGTTACTAGCTCTTTTTTTGTTTTTTAAATTGATTTCAGAGAGAAAGGGAAAGGGAGAGATAGAAACATCAATGATGAGGGAGAATTCGTGATTGGCTACTTCCTGCACGCCCCCTACTGGGAATAGAGCCCACAACTCCTGCATGTGCCCTTGACCAGAATCAAACCCAGGAATCTACAGTCCACAGACCGATGCTCTATCCACTGAGCCAAACAGCCTAGGGCTAGTTATTAGCATTTTTACCAAGTGTTTAGCAGCCAACATTTTATTGAATTTCAAGCCTTTGAATACTATTACCATTGTTACTGAACAATTTGTGACATCACATGCAAAAATAGGGTTACCAAGACTCATGTGGGTATCTAAATTTGAGTTCATTAAAATAAAATATACTTTCTCAGTCACGGCAAGCATATTGCAAGTGCTTAGTAATCACACGGAACTACTGGTTACCAGTAGTTAGACAGTGCAGATAGAATATGCCCATCATTGCAGAAAGCTCTATCAGATAGATTTGGTATAGAATAATGGACTGTCAATATTAAAACCATGTCAAAGGTTTTATTCCCTTAAAGGTGAACCCATGTAAAGAACAGTAAAGATAATAGAGCCAGGGTACAAATTAGGTGATGATTTGCCAATCACCTAAAATGATATGTTGAGTCATATTTTAAGCAATGTGGATCTAATCGCTTGGTGGCATTAAAAAAAAAAAAAGGCATAGTACAGTTCTTTCCCCAACCAGAGCCTGAAATTCTTCCCAGGTGTACAAAAGCAAAGTCTCAAACAACAACAATCACTGTTAACTAGTGGTCAGACTACATTTAACTAAGGGGAAATTACTTACTCAATAGCAGACATCCATATGGAATGGTAAAGTAGGATACTTTTGTAAAGGTTTATCTGAAACAGGACTGCAAAGGTAAAACAAAATTTAACAAAAGCTAGAGATAGTACATTTGCAGAGAATCACAGATGGTTCATGTTGATTCTTACATAAGGTACACATAATTTAATTTAAACACAGTTTGGCTTTATTGAGGAAATCTGGTTGGTTGGAGAAGAAACACAAATATCACATATTGACCTCCCCACTCAAATTCTATCTCAATGGCCTTAGAATGAGAGAACTTCAAACCATGTATTGCAAATATAGAGGGTTTTCTTCCAGATACAGTGCTGAAGATATACAGTGCTGGATAATGTACATTGTAAGAGAGGGCTTGATCAGCACATAGGAAAGCCCTAGCAGAACCCAATTTCTATCCCACATCTTAAAGGGGAGGAGCCATTTATTGGCAAAGACTGATCCCCCTTATAGGATTTAATCGTTTGCTTTTTCCCTTTCTCTTCTTTTTTCCTCTATTCTGACTCATTCACACCAATATTTGAGTGGATGTAAGATTCTCCCATCTTTGAAAAACCGTCAATCACACATTTATCTCTACCCACTATATGATTTGCCCAACATCACCAAACTCTAAGGGTTCTCCAAATTGTCTTCACTTCAAAAGCCATCCACAACTCAACTTCACTAAAACTTCCAGAGTCAACAATGACTTTTTTGCAAACTATTACAGTCTCCATGTGTTTGGAATTTTTTTTCACTCCTTTTAACTAACATTTCAAATTAACCACTTTATTTGCCTTTCAAAAGCAGCCTTCTCTTAAACTTCTCTGATACCACACTCACCCCGTTTTCCTCCTGTTTTTCTGGTCATTCCTTAGTCTTTGTGGGTTCTTCCTCTGGCTATCTCCAGGCCCTTGTTCCTGAGCTTGCACCAGGTGGGTGACTTCATGCACTCTCTGTGCTTCAAATGCACATCTGTATTCTGATGATTTCTTTTTCTGTGGTTCCAGCATAGATCTTCCTTCTGAATTCCAGAAACACACCTAGTCGGCATCTCCTCTTGGGTGTTCAAAATGGCACCTCAAATTACCTTGTCCTGATCTGAAGGTATCTTCTTTCCCCAGATTGTATCCTACATGCCTTATCTTAGCAAATGATGCTACCATCTACCTAGTTCCACAAACCTGAAACTTGGATGTCTGTCTTTCTTTACTCTTCTAATTCCCTCATCCTCTGCATCTAAACATCATCAAGTTATTCAAGTTTCACCAACTGTTTATCAAGTGTTAGCACGTTCCACCATACCTACTGACAGCATTCTACTATAGGCCACTGTAATTTCCAATGTAGATTATTGTACCAGCCTCCTATTATATTCCCCCCAGTGAAGCCTCTACATTTTTCAAGTGTTCTCTGAATGAACTCAATCTGATTCCCTCCCATCCTTTGTCTCAGGATAGCTGCCATAGTTTACAAGTTTATTCTAGCCGTGTCTTTAGATTTCTACTCCTTGTTCCCAAGTGGCTTCCATACTTTTATTTTCCTGCATAGCTCATTCTTACTCTTGCATTTTCATCCTTGACAACCTCTTCCACCTTTTACCACAACAAGCGTCACCCCATTTCACCTAGCTAATTTGTACTCATCCTTAAGGTCTTGTTTGGACATCATTTCCTTCTGGAAACTTCTCTTGACCACCCTCCCCCTCAAAACCAGTTAGGTACCAGTCTTATGTGCCCTCATAATGTTTTTCCCCATCAATGCACATTCACACTGTTTACTAGTTTGTATCTCTCAGTGGCCAGCAGTCTACTCAAGAGCAGGTATGCCTTTTTCACTATTAATCCTCTGTTATGCAGGTGTGTAATAAATGTTAGTGTGAATAATTGTTTTGCCCATGCCTTTTTTAAAAAAAATTTTTTTAATTGATTTCAGAGAGGAAGGAAGAGGGAGAGAGAGAGAGAGATAGAAACATCAATGATGAGAATCATTGATAGGCTGCTTCCTATACCCTTGGCCGGAATCAGGCCTGGGACCCATCAGTCCTCAGGCGGATACTCTATCCACTGAGCCAAATCAGCTAGGGCTGCTCATACCTTTTTATCTCTTTTATTTGCTCATGTTTTGACACCTGGGGCCTTGGGAAAGTGCTTTCAATTGGCAATCTATATCCTCCAACCACCTTCTTTACCAAACTTTCACAAGCCAGGCAACATTCCTCTAACCCAGCAGTTCTCAACCTGTGGGTCGAGACCCCTTTGGGAGTTGAACGACCCTTTCACAGGGGTCGCCTAAGACCATCAGAAAACACATATATAATTACATATTGTTTTGTGATTAATCACTATGCTTTAATTATGTTCCATTTGTAACAATGAAATTGGGGGTCACCACATGAGGAACTGTATTAAAGGTTCGCAGCATTAGGAAGGTTGAGAACCACTGCTCTAACCTAATCACTCCACAGTCAGGTACCAAACAAACCTGCACAGCCCCTACCTCCCCAAACCCACTGAAATTATTCAAATTCGACAATCACAAATTAACCTGCTTACCCTGCCTCTCCCATTCCTTCCTGCAAATAGCACAATCAGGTTTCTTACTCATGCTTTCCCCTGGCTCCCTCTGCCTCCTGACCCACCCTCGTGCTTCCCGGTGTGGGCTTAAACTGCTTGTGAATGCATTTTAGAATTGGTTTGATATGAAATAATTTGTGCATTTGGCTAAGTGGTTGAGCATAGAACTATGAACGGGAAGATCGCAGTTTGTTTCCAGATTAGGGCACATGCCCAGGTTGCTGGCTCCATCTCAAGTTGTGCGGCATGCACGAGGCAACCAATCAATGGTTCTCTCTCATCATTGATGTTCTCTCTTTCTCTCCCTTTCTGAAATAAATAAAAATACTTTTTAAAGAAATATTTTGTACATTTAACAAGAACTGCGAAAATAAATGGTGATGGGGGGAATGAAAACTGAGTTTGGGTGGTGGGTATACGGGTTTTTCCAGATTTCTATAACAACATCAACTAGCACACCTTAATGCCCGCCACAGAACAAAAGCCTCGGCTAAAATGGGGCTGGAGAAGCGGAAGTAATAACTTGGTCCTCACCCACATCTCCCCGCTCCAGTGGGCCCCTTGAGTCTGGGCTGGCTTTGCGCAGCCGCACTTCTTCAGACTCCGGAACCTTTGAGCGTCGTTTCAACGTTTTCCAGTCGGCAGTGAAAGCGCACTTCCGGCCCTGACGGAAGTTGTTGCTCAGTCGTTTCCGAGGCGTTGTGAGGTAGAGGAGCTTTCCAAATGGATCGCAGCCGAAGCCACAGCCGCAGCCGCAGCCGCAGTCGCAGCGGCAGCCGCTCCCGCTCCCGCTCCCCTCAGGGGGGTGAGTCTGGAAGCAATTTGGAGGGTCTGGGGCTCGGTAAGAGGCGCTTCCTATCCCCCCTTATTTTCTGTGCGAGGGCCGCGGAGATGCAGGCCCTTTACGCCTGAGGAGACGAGCGGCGTGTGGGTGGGTGTGGATGGGCAACGAACACCTCCGCCCTCCGGTTCCAAAGCAGGCTTTTTTCTTTTTTTCCCCTTCTAAACTGAAGCTTCGTTCTTTATCAGCCTCCAGTCATAACTTTTTTTAATCGTTGTGACTGGGTAATTTAGAATCAGACCACGGTCCCTTCATTTAATTTCGAGGGTGACCATGTGCAGTCATCCAGCGTTTGAGTCCTCATTCCCGTCGTTAGACATTGGGGGTAATATTACCTAGCTTTAAAAACTGATGTGAGCAATAATGGCATATTCCACAGCACTCAGCACGTGATACCGCCTGTAACTTGAGTGCTCAATGTTGGGTTTTTCCAGCTTATTATAATAGGGAAATGTATATTTTTGAAAAACATGTTTTTGTTGATTTTATTTTTTAATTTTTTTACATTGATTTGAGAAAGCAAAGGAGAGGGAGAAACACCTACTGGCTGCCTCCTGCACACCCCCTACTATCTCCTAATGGGAATCGACTCTTTATTCCAAACTGGAATTGAACCAGCAAACCTTTGGTGCATGGGATGACGCTGAACCAACTGAGCCCCACAGGCCAGGTCTATTTTTATGGATTTTCGAGAGAGAGAGGAAAGGAGAGGGTGAGAGAAAAAAGCGATTGGTTGCCCCCTGCATGGGCCCCCTACTTGGGATGGAGCCCACAACCTAGGCATGTGCCCCAACCTGGAATTGGGCCAGTGACCTCTTGATGCGTGGGACGCGCTCAACCAACTGAGCCACACCGGCCAGGGCATGATCTTTTTTTAAACATTTTTATTGATTTTTTTTTAGAAAGAAAGGCAGGAAGACAGAGGGAGAGAGAAACATTGACTTAAAAGAGGGAAACATAAATTGCCTGCCTCCTGCATGTCCCCTGCTGGCAATCTGGGCATGGGCCATGATTGGGAATCAGACCCGGGAACTTGGTGTGCACCATAGGAAGCCCAACCAACTGAGCCACACCGGCCAGGGATGGAAATTCATATTTAGAATTTTCCATCTAGAAAAGTCACCTCCTAAGGTCTCCTGATCCCCACCCCCATAAGTGAGGCAGTGCCGTGTACTCTGACTTAGACCCTGGGTTCTGCCCCTGGGTGGTTTTTACCACCTTCAACTTGTCAAGATGTGATTTTCTTAAAAGTTAAATGAGGCCGGCATCCACATATGGCTATTGAGGATCCCAGTCAGAATAAAGATGTGCCCAATCAGGATTAAGAAGTGCTGTTTAATTGTAGGATACACACCGGATTTCCTTAATTTAGTACAAAGAAATCTAAAAATGTCAATTTTTTTATATTGAGTACTTTTTGAAATGATAATAGTTTGAAAATATATATATTTAGTCAAATAACATTCTATTAAAATTAATTTCACCTGCTTTTTACTTTTTAATGTGACTACTAGAAATGACTTGCATTATATTCCTATGAGACAGCCCAGCTCTAAATATTTGAGGTAATTTTTGGCTCTGCAATTTTGTTCCTTGTGTTAGAACATAAGCGGTCCCCGTCCACTTCACCGGAGAAAGAACCCAGTCGCCAGGAAAGGTCTCAGTCCAGGGAGAAAGAGCTGAGAAGGAGCCGCTCTGGGTCCCCCCACGGAAGACGCTCCAGGTAAGTGCGGAACATGGGCAGAGGTTTACCACGAGTCCCAGAGAAACTAGTTGTTGCCCTTTACTTTGTTTTTATCACTTATAAGGCCATTTACAATGTCATGAAATGGGGGGACTTAAGCCCATCTTATTCTAAACCTAACATTTCCCTGGGTGAATGGGATTAAGTCTCTTCTCCTAGAGTTGCCTTTAGGAGTAAATGAGAAATAATGCCAGAAAAGCACTTAACATGATGCTTGGCAAAAATAAGAAATAAGTGTTTGTTTTGCTTTTATTGACTTTTTGGTGATAAAGATTTATTCAAGTATGTAATAAAAAATGTGAGATCTTGGAAGTACCTTAGAATGGACTTGTGATTTCCTAATAAGCATCAATTGCTGTTTAAGTCAACTTTTTGTGTGTTTATGTGCAGTTGTTAGAAACTGTTTAGTTACATTTTTCTGCCTTGCAGAACATTTTTTAGCCCTAGCTATACTGAGCAAGACTGTATTTTTGTTAACAATCGGGCTAGGCGGAACCTTCTAGCTTATTTTTCTATAGGAAATGGGCTCGTGGTTCTCTGCAGCCTGGCTCTTGTTCAGCGTTTACCTTTCAGGCACTCATGCATATCTGTGCTGATTGACACAGTGGCCAGGTATGTCTCTGTTTCTGACATGTTTACTTATTAAATATTAGATCCCCAAGACGACATAGATCCACATCTCCTTCTCCTTCTCGACTGAAAGAAAGAAGAGATGAGGAAAAGAAAGAAAGAAAGAGCAAAGAAGGTCAGATAACTGGTAATGTTATTAGAAAATAACTGTAGGAAGAGTGCAGCCTTGTTTAGATAACTTCAGGCATGATAACATTAAAAAAGTATTAAGTTGTTTATAGTGTTTATTGCATATTAGAGGCCCGGTGCATGAAAATTCATGCACTGGAGGGGGTCCCTCAGCCCGGCCTGCCCCCTCTCACAGTCCGGGAGCCCTCGGGGGCAGGAGGTGACTCAGTTATCAGGGGAAAGTGATGCCCCATCACACCTCAGCTGCTGCCACTGCTGGCAGCGCAAGCCTCGGCTGACCCTGGTTACCTGCACCTCGGGCCTGCCCTGGGGGACTGGGGGGCTGAAGGGACTGGGGGACTCCAGAGGCAGGCACGTGGCTAGGCCAGACCTGCCTGGGGGCCGGCCCGGCCTTGCTGTGGACCTGCTGCCCCAGCGGGGCTGAGGGGACTAGGCACTGCCATCTTGCAACTGTGGGTGCCGCCATCTTAGAGGGCAGGGCAGTCAATTAGCATATTCTCTCCTCATTGGCTGTGGGCACTGCCATCTTAGAGGGCAGGGCAGTCAATTAGCATATTCCCTCCTCATTGGCTGTGGGCGCCACCATCTTTGAGGGTGGGGCAGTCAATTAGCATCTTCCCTCCTTATTGGCTGTGGGTGCCACCATCTTTGTGATAGTGTAAGGGTCAATTAGCATATTCCCTCTTTATTAGATAGGGTGGTTTGAGATTTTGTTTTAATTGTACCTTAGTGAGTTCCTGGTTATCTATCGTGCTCCTGATGTGGGTAGGACATGTGAGCATATTTTATTTTGGCAGTACCTTCAAAACAAGTGTCATGTCTGATATGAAAGGTGGTCCTGCCTAAAGGCTTCAACATGTCCTTTTAAGCAGTTTCTTCTGTTGGAAGGTGGAGAGCACATTCCTTCCTTGCACCTCAAGTTACATTCTGCCCAAATTGAAGAGAAATTTTTTTGTTAGACTCAACTCTTTACCTGATTGTTGTTGTTGTTTTAAATATATTTTTTACAGAGAGGAAGGGAGAGGGAGAGGGATAGAGAGTTAGAAACATCGATGAGAGAGAAACATCGATCAGCTGCCTCCTGCACACCCCCTACTGGGGATGTCCCCGCAACCAAGGTACATGCCCTTGACCAGAATCGAACCTGGGACCCTTGAGTCCACAGACCTACACTCTATCCACTGAGCCAAACCAGTTAGGGCTACCTGATTATTTTATATGTCTTCTGCTGGTAACATGGAATGACTATTAATCTAGTGCCACCATTCCTTTAATATATAAAATGATAGAGTTTTAAAAATTACCTCTTATTTTTGCAGAGGAAGATTTAGAGGGCAAAACAGAAGAAGAAATAGAAATGATGAAGGTAATGGGATTTTCCGCCTTTGACTCAACAAAAGTAAGTAAAACTCAAAGCCAGTTAAGCATTCTGATTTGAATTAATCCATTATGACTGTCCCATTTTTCCATATTCTTTTCCTATTGCCTGTGTAATTGATACAAGTTTATTCAGTTAAAAGACAATAACTGTCTGTGTGAAGGGGTTTGAGGGTACAGAGAAGGAAGCAGTGAGGTGCCATTGAATCCAGGGAGTGTTTGCCTGGGATGATGTTGAGTTAGATCTTAAAGGGCCAGTACAAAGAAGAAGAGGATCATTAGATCTTAAAGGGCCAGTACAAAGAAGAAGAAGAGGATCATTTTAAGTAGAAGGAGGAGTTCATGAAAATGCCCTGTAGACGTGAAGTAGCATAGTGTATTGTGGGAATTTCAAATTTAGTGGCTGTTAAAAAGATGCTGATGGGCCAGTGACTACAGTGAGTCTGGAAATAGGGGTAGGAAGCAAATCATGACAGACTTTTGCTGCCCTTTGTCATGCTAAGGAATTTAGAGTTGATACTTTGGATGGTAAGAGATAGCAAAGATTTAAAAAAAAAACCCAAAACCACACAAGAGTGATAGGATTATATGTGTGTTTTAGACAGATGACCTAGGGCAGCCTTGGAGCACAGATGGGAGTCATTTGATTGGAGGCAGGGAGAACTGCTGAGTCATGCAAGTGAAAGATGATGAAGACATGAACTGAGAGGAAGATCCGGAATATTGAGAAGCATTTAGGAGCCAGAGTTCGTGGTAGTGGGAGTGAGCAGTCAGTGATGACTGAGGTGGCAGGCTGAAAGACTGGGTGGTAGGGTTAACCAAGAAAGGATAATGGGAAGAGGAAGTGCTGTGAAACAGAAGAAAACTCAGCTGCTGAATAGAGATGACATTGGGTAGCTGCACACATATCTCTTAGCTCAGAGAGGGGTGATTTGGAGGTTGAATGCTATAATACTGGAAAGAATAAGGAAAAGGGGGAGGGGAAAGGGAGGGATTGTGGACAGGGAGCTGAAGTCAGGGATTATAGGGAGGGTGAGGGGAGAGAGTAGAGGAATAGGGAGACGGGTAAAGAGAAATAGGGGAAAGAAGTGTTGGAGAGGGGAAACGGACAGGGGAGGAGGGGGGTTGAGGGAGCTAGTAAGGATAGACAGAAGGAAAGTATATGTGGAGAGAGAATATATTTTTTAAACTTTCTTTTATATCTGTTTAATTCCATAAATGGAAATTGAGAATATTGAGAAAAATAGTGAGTTGTGAAAGTAGGGTAATTTCACATGCTTTAGGAGTTTCTAACTGATATGATCGTGTAGGGCTCACATATTTGTGTGTTTAGTGTGTGTGTTTTATTTTTTTATTATTTTTTATTAATCCTGACACAAGGATATTTTTTTCCATTGATTTTTAGAGAGAGTGGAAGGGAGAGGAGAGGCCCCCACCAGGGCCAGTGATCAAGCATGCAACCTAGGTTTGTTTGGAATCAAACCCAGGACCTTTCAGTCCAGTCTGATGTTCTGTCCACTGAGCCAAACAGGGCATGTGTGTGTTTTAACTGACAATGTATAAACTTAGAGGAGTACTGAGGCATGACTGTTCTGAAGTGAAAAATTTAAGGCCTGCAGGAGTGGCTCAGTGGGCATCGTCCTCTGCACTGAACGGTTGCTGGTTCGATTGTGGTCAGGACACAAGCAGGGTTACAGGCTCCTTTCTGACGTGCAGAAAGCAGCTGATTGGTGTCCTGCTGGAGCATTAATGTTTCTATCTTCTTCCTTCCTCACTCTCTAAAAATAGATAGACTATTCTTGTAAAAAATACATTAACTATGAATATTGTTTTGAATATTGTATTATTTGTTTACATGTGACTATAAAAAAGTGAACAGAGTTGTAATACTTGGGAGCTCATGGGATATCATCAGGATCTGAAAATTCTTTCTCTCATTGGGCTACCTCATTCTTAGATGGATCTTGCCATGTAAGTCTGTCTATAGCAGGGGTCCTCAAACTACAGCCTGCAGGCCACATGCAAATACAAATATTGTATTTGTTCCTGTTTTGTTTTTTTACTTCAAAAGATATGTGCAGTGTGCATAGGAATTTGTTCATAGTTTTTTTTTTTTAAAACTATAGTCCGGCCGTCCAACGGTCTGAGGGACAGTGAACTGGCCCCCTGTTTAAAAAGTTTGAGGACCCCTGGTCTATAGGATCCAGTTCTTTTGATCAAGGCATTTAATGTATCCTTCCTGTTTTTATCATTTGTTTATTGCTTTTCTCCAGGGAAAAAGGTTGGTTGGCTGTGTAAATGCCTATGCCGTAAATATATCTCAGAAATACAGGTACGCATAATCCCCATTTCTGTGTTTGAACCAATGATATAAATTATGTCCTTTGGAAAGAATTTGTTATAGGATAATTGTGTTTGTAAGAAATGTAGCAATTTTCCATACAGTCCCTTGTTTTAATCTTCCTTGCTTATGATCTGGATTTTAATTTTCAATTTATAGGTAAACTAATAGCTATTATAGAGAAGGGTAGTTAGCTTAAATGGTTTAGAACTGTATAGATAGTTCTTTCTTCAAAACGTGAGTTTTAAAAAGTCTTTAGAGTTTATTTTTATTATAATTAAATATTTTTCTTTTAAATCTTTTTTTTTTACTGACTTTAGAGAGAGAGAAGAGGAGAAGAGAAGAGAGAGAGAGAGAGAAGCACGAGAGAGAAATGATAGGCGGTATCGTTCACGCACCCCGACCAGGGACCGATACCGCGGCTCAAGCATGCGCTACGACCGGGACTCATACCGGAGACACCACAGTTCACGGGACTACTCTCATTCAGCTGAGCCACACCGGCCGAGGCTAAAATTATAGATTTAAAATAGATCTCTCCTGAATTACTCACCTAGATTGATTATGTAAGGATTTTAACTGTAAATACATTCTTCTGTTAAGTGGAAACATTTTATTAATACCACAGGACAAACCAATTCATACTTAAAATCTTACTGAATTCCTAATGAATTAGAAAGTCAGGAAGACATCTTCAAACATTGCCTTTCTCTCTACCTTTATTACTGATAAAAGACTAACATTCCAATTAATTTAGAATATGAATAATGTGATTTGATAATGCTGGTGAGTTAAGGAACCAGAATCATCATTGACATTCCTTTGTAAAGTTACCTTCAAATAAAGTGTTATGGAGAAAACCAGTATGCAATCCGATTTACTTGGCAAGTACCTGTTTTGAGCTCTTCTCTATTTCCTTAAATTAAGTGTTTAGTGCTACCTAAAATAAATATATATTTTGAATTGATTTTTTTTAAAGTCTGTGGAATCTTCCCAAATAATTATGAAAGTAGATTCTTATACTTCTATTTGGATTTTACAGTAAGTAGTCTAAAATACTTTTGCTTATTTTGAAAGTGAAGTAATACCATCTTACTGTACATTAAATAATCTTGAATACTTCTTACCCTATCCTTTGCCATCTTAAAGGCGATTCAGGTGTAATCTCTAAAGCATGTGATTATTTTTATTTTTTAAAAAGTGAGAGACATTGATTTGTTGTTCCACTTATTCATTAATTGATTAATTCTTGTATGTGCCCTGACTAGGGATCAAACCCTCAACCTTGGCATATAGGGACGATGCTCTAACCAACTGAGCTACCTGACCAGGGCCATGGTTATTTTTTCATAAGAGGAGTCCAGAATTTTTTTAAAAAAATAAACATTGAATTTTTTTCTTCTTGTCATAGGCAGGACATGAATTGCAAAGGTGGATTCAACAGACCTTTGGATTTCATTGCGTGAGAATTGAAATGTTGAAGAATGGTTGTTGGTTCCTTCATCTTGATCAGAAGAGTGGATTTTGTTTTGTTTTTTTGTATTTCATATGCATCAAAACAGGATCACAGTCCTTCTTTGTAAAGTAAGAAAATTTTACCTATGATGTGTGCAGTTCGCTTACCTTGCCTCAAAAGAAGAAATGTTAAATATTTCATTTTTTTCTTTTAGGAAGTATCATTTGGGGCAATCATCAACCCCATTTTTTTTTCATTTTTTTGTCTTTATTCCTGTGGAAGCTGTATATGTTTTCTTCTTGGGTGCTTGATAGGACTTCTTAAAACACGTAAAAGTAATTTGGATGTAAGCTTCTCAAATAAAGCGATATTTCTACCCTCTTGTATTTTATAATACCATATTGTATTACTACATGAAAGTATCACCCTATAAATTTCCTTTTTTCATACATAGATTTAGATATCATGATTCTTAGTTAAAAAATTAGAAGAATGAAAAAGTATAACTGGATTTTTGTATCTTAGTTTTTCCCCTCAATATCATTTATTTACCCCCATTTTATTTTTAAAATATATTTTTATTGATTTCAGAGAGGAAGGGAGAGGGAAAGAGAGATAGAAACATCAATGATCAGAGAGAATCATTGTTGGGCTGGCTCCTGCACGCCCAGACCAGGAATTGAACCGTGATCTGGTTACAGGTCGATGCTCAACCACTGAGCCATGCCGGCAGGGCTTTCCCCCCATTTTAAAAGCAATACATGCTTATTATTTAAAAAAAAGAAAGAAACAACAGAAGAAACCAAACAGTAAAGGAAAAGCCAAAATCACCTGTAAAACCTACCCCCAGAAACACTCAATGTTAATATTTTGGTATATATCTTTCCAGGATCTAATGGGTGTATATTTCTTACTCCCAACCATGAGATCAGAATGCAGTTCTTTTTTGCTAATCCTGTGCTGTGAATATCTTTTTAATATTCTTACATATTCTTTGGAAACTTAGCTTTTAGGAGGTACTTGGTTGTACCATAATATATCATTAACTAATTATTTACTTGGTGAACATTAGCTTCCCTCCCATGATTTGCTGTAAGTAGTATCCCTGTTACATATATCTTTTTGTACTTGTTGCATTATTTCCTCAGGTTCAGTTCTTAGATGTGAGATAAAGGGTGTGTGTGCATGTTTTAAGGGTTTTGATACATATATATGGCTAGAAAGGTAACAACTGACTCTGACCAGTAAAGTATGAGCCTTCCCATTTTATACACCACCAATATTGTGCAGAATTTATTTATTTTTTGGGGTTTGTTTTTTTTTTAGAGAGGGAAGAAGGGGAGGAGAGAGAGAAACTTCGATGGATCGGCTGCCTCCTGCACGCCTCCTACTGGTAATCGAGCTCAGCATGTGCCCTGACAGAATCGAACCAGCAACCTTTTGGTTGCTAGGGATGACGCCCAACCAACTGAGCCACAGAGGCCAGGGCCATAATAATTTATTTAAAGCTCCCAATCTGATAAGTAAAATATTGGTATTTTGTAAAGTGCTAATTTCAAATAATGAATCCACTGGTGTTTTGGCAAGCTTTTCTTTTTCTTATTTGAAGGATGCTCTTTTAATATTGAAGATAATAACCATTACCCATTCTGTTTCACATCTCCTTGATATTTGAGGCTCTGGTTATATTTTAAATTTGGGTTGTTTTTTGTGGGGTTTTCTGAGTAATACAAACACCTGGGACATAATTTGGACAGCACAAAGGACATAGGGGTGAACTAATTGTGTATCCTTTCAGAGATATTCTGTATGTACACAATGCATCTTCTTATTCAAATGTAAGCACATTTTACACACTATTTTGCACCTAACCTTTTTTCACTTACTTGTAAATCTTAACATTGTTTCTTCCTTTTTTAAAAAAAAATATTTTTATTGATTTCAGAGAGAAAGGGAGAGGGAGAGATAGAAACATCAATGATGAGAGAGAATCATTGATCAGCTGCCTCCTGCACACCCCCTACTGGGGATTGAGCCCGCAACCCAGGCATGTGCCCTAGACCGGAATCAAACCTGGGACCCTTCAGTCCACAGGCCGATGCTTTGTCCACTGAGCCAAACTGGCTAGGGCTTAACATTGTTTCTTAGAGGTACAGGTAATATTGTCTTTTTTTTTTTTTTTTAAATCATGAAATATGGTTTATTCCAGAAAGTCCAAGAGAAATATTAATACAATTCACAGTCTCCATGTGGCTTCTTCTGTATATCCTTAGTTATAAGACTGTTCAGCTGGTTTTCAGTGTGTTCACAATGATGGTTCTATAGTTTAGTTGTAATTTTGATGTGGTCCTAGGAGATGAACACATTTACCCACTCCACCATCTTGACTGGAAGTTCTGCCGCCTTTTTTTTTTTTAATCCTCACCTAAGAATATTTTTCCCATTGATATTTAGAGAGAGAGTGCAAGGGAGGGAAGGGGGGAGAGAGAGAAACATCGATGTGAGAGAGACTCAACTGGTTGCCTCCCATACTCGCCCTGACTAGGACCAGGGATAGAACCTGCAAGCGAGGTACGTGCTTTTGACTGGGAATCAAACTCAAGGTTCAAGGACCAGTGCCCTAACCACTAAGCAAAAGTGGCCAGGGCTCTGCTGCTTTTTTTTTTTTTTTTTTAATGTTAATCCTCACCCAAGAATTTGGTAGGGGTTTTTTCATTGATTTTTAGAGAGATGTGAGAGAGACATCAATTGGGTTGCTTCCCATATGTGCCCAATGGGGGATCAAACCCATAACCTGGATATGTGCCCTGACCTAGAATCGAACCCATGACCCTTCTGTGTATGGGATGAAACTCTAACCAACTGAGCCACACTGGCCAAGGCTTTTTTTTTTTTTTCTTTTAAGGGCACCAATTATATAGTCCACTTAATGATAGACTATAATTTTTTTTAACTAATGCCCCATTGATGGACATTCAAGTTGTTTCTTTTACTATTTTAAAAAATTCTATAATCACTATCCTTGTATGTACATGATTTTATGTGTCTTTTTAAAAAAATATATATTTTTACTGATATTTTAAAGTGAGGATAGGAGTAGGGAGAGATAGAATCATTGATGAAAGGGAAACATCAATCAGTTGCCTCCTACTGGGGATTGAGCCTACAACCTGGGCATGTGCCCTGATTAGGAATTGAACCAGCGATCTCTGTGCCTGGGTTGATTGATGTTCACCACTGACCCACACCAGCTGGGCTGTTTTTTCTTTTTAAATGTTTTTATTGAGCCCAACCAGAGTGGCTCAGTGCATGGTGATGACCTATGAACCAGGAGGTCATGGTTCGATTCCCTGTCAGGGTATGTGCCAGGGTTGCGGGCTCTATCCCCATTGTGGGGTGTGCAGGAGGCAGCCAATAGATGATTCTCTGTCATCATTAATGCTTTTGTCCTGTCTTCCTCTCCCTTCCTTTCTGAAATCAATAAAAATGTATTTTAAAAGGACAAATATAAGTGTTTTTGTTTATATTAGAGAGAGAGGAAGGCAGAAGTATAGTGATAGAAACATCGAAGAGAAACATTGACTGACTGCCTTCAGCACAACCCATGTTGGGGATTAAGCCCGCAACCCAGGCATGTGCCCTGATTGGGAATCAAATTGGTTGACCACTTGGTGCATGGGTCAAGTCTCAACCACTGAACTACACTGGCCTGGCTGATATTATGTCTTTAGCTGGATTTTTAAATTCTTCATGGCATCTGAGATTTGACCACCTATTATAGTTCCTTTTAAATTTTTTTATTTTTAATTAATTTATTTTTTATTTTTAGAGAGATGAAGGGAGAAGGAAAGAGAAACATCTATGAGAGAGTGAAACACTGATCAGCTGACTCCTACACTCCCCCTACCAGGGATGGAACCTGAAATACAGGCATGTGCCCTGACTGTGAATCAAACCGTCAATCTTTTGATGCACGGGATGATGCCCAGCCAACTGAGCCACACTGTCCAGAGCTATTGTAGGTCTTTAAAAGCTTTCCTGGCAGGTTATTCCATATAAAGAAAATAGTAGTATGACTGCATTGCATAATACAGTGTACAGAGCACCTTGGTTCATTTAATCCCTATGAAATACAGCAGGTATTATTATTTCCATTTCTCAGATGAGAAAGCTTTTCAGACCATAAAGGCAGAAATTATTAGTGTTTATACTACAGGTTGCCTTCAGTGCTTAAATATTTGAGTGTGCTACATTAGCTGCACAACTTGTAGTACCCATTGCATGAGTGTCACTGCCTTAGATTATTTTGCTTGGACTTTTTGCAAGCTGAGCTAAATAGACTCCCATACCCCACTCACCAAAATACTCATGTATCTCTAAATTATCCATGACAAGGACTCTTTCTGACCATATATGTGCATACCCAATAGTTTGAATATGGAAGCTAAAAATTACAAGATAAAATATAACCCAAACTACATTACACGTCTGGATTGTCATCTTAATGTGGT